GAGGGCAGGGGGTTGAAGCGGGGAAAAAAGATACATTTCTCATGCGAACGATAAGGAGAATATCTCTTGAGTAGTTATTAAAGCAAAATGCACGCAATTTTAATGATGGGCTCGAAAGGAGGCTAAAGTATGAAAGAAAATTGCTCGGTGAATAGAATTTAATTAAAGAACTTTGTGTGCCATACCTGCTGAGCTGCCGATAGTTGAGGCGTGCTGACTCGCTACTTCAGCCTGATTGTGAACCGATTCATTAGAATCCGAAGAAAGAGTCCCAAGGGTAGAGCCAAGCCTTTTCAAACTATTCGCCCGTCTGACGATCGTCGCCACTGTACGACAATATAGTGCCTTCGCCAGCGAGTCCCTCGTCATGTTCGACTGAGTAATAAAGAATTTTCAATTCTCGCAATTTGTCAATGAAATGGAATTTGAAATGGGCCGACGCATCATTATTCGCTTCCCATGGCAAATACTCGGCGATAAGCGTATTTTACATTCATCGTGTAAGTGCCATTATAGACTGCGAGGAAGTCGCATACATACTCGTCTTCGAGTGCACTTTACACTTAGGCGTTCGTTTGGTTAAATGTAATTGTCGCGAGGCTAGAAAACGGATTTTAAAAGAACATTAGACTCGATCGCGTCAAACGAAAGCTCGCAAAAATTATTTCCTTCAATCTTGCAATCTAATTGTAATCGTGAGTACGCGCGATCTTGAAATTTAACAAACTTATCCCAATTGGAATTTAAGAAATGCAAATACTCGGTCGCGATGTGCATTGATGCGTAGCTACGCGAGATCCTGAAACCCATTAAAGCATTTGGAGTTGTTATAAGCTCGGTAACTCGGTGATTCGCAATGCTTATGAGCTTTAGCTGCCGATGAAATTCACAGCGAATTCTTGACGTGGAAGCTGAGCAAACTTATCGAGGATCACGCGAAGGAAATGACGGAGGATGGGGCTCGTACCGGGCTCGGGACTCCCAACCGAGGACGAAAGACTCACCATGTTTGCGTCGCAGACGGACTTGACGAGCTGCCCGCGCGCGTTGTGCGTCCTGGAGGTGAGACCCCGCAGGAGGGCCGACGGTGTGACGCCAAGGAGGGAGGCTACCGAGGCGAGCTCGTTCTCGCCGATGACACCGACCTCGACTCCCGGTCCATCGGTGAAGCCGACGTTGCCGAGGATCAGCACCGCAGCCAGCACTCGCACCACGTCGAGAAACGGTATGCCGAGGACACCTGCTTACACCAATAGATCTGTTTACTCGTGGCGCACTTTGCCTAAAATACTTTGCCTAACATTGTTATTGGCTTTCTTATTGGGAGATGGGCATCGACTGCCCCCTAACAAATAGCTTCTACTTTTTCTTATTCTTCTTCTTCTTCTTCTTCTTCTTCTTCTTCTTCTTCTTCTTCTTAATCTTCATCTTCATCTTTTTCTTCTTCTCATCCTCCTCCTCCTTCTTGCTTTCTCTGCTTTTCTTTCGTTCTTTGATTTTTTTCTTTCAGTTTCACACTTACGGATCAATGGACATTTATACCGCTTAGCCATGTTACGAGAATTAGGAAAGAATTGCCTCGCTTTTGTATAAAAAGCTACATGCATCGGACACGTGTGTTCGTTAAAAATAAATTTTAATTCGATAAACAAAAGTCTAAAGTCTCCTCTGTCATTTATTTCTATTTTGTGCATTAAAATCTTTATTAGTAATTAATTTTATTATACAACTATCGTTTATTAGCATGCGCGATGAAAATCATTATGGACGAATGAATTAATCATGTGCCAATTATTATTAATACATTCGATTAAGTAATTTCATTAATTAGTGGAATCATAATGCACGATCTTGGCTTATGAAATCGATAATTGTGATTATGAAATAAAAATGCAAAATTGGCAAAAAAAAATTTTAACCCCTATATAGCATATGGGCGCCAATACCTCGATGCAGAATAAATAATTGTGATTAAAAACAAAGTAGCAACAACAGCAGCAACAACAACAAAGAAAGAAAAACTGAAGTAATGATAGTGTTAAGGTATGATATTAAATGTATTATCTATAAATCGTTATATAAGCCTCGATAAATTGGCAAATATTTGTAACAATTTGATATTTTCATACTATTTGAAATTACAAACTTTGTAATTAACAATGAACATTAAACAACAAAAAAACACAAAAATAAAAACAAAAAAAAACAACAACAACAACAAAAAAATACATTCAAATAGCTTGATAATTATTTGGAAAAAGTATTATCTTGCGTTATTCCGAGCATTATAATCAGGAAATAATTTTTTTACTCTTAATATTTTATAATATCGCTGGGAATTCATGCGTAACATTGGTATCAGCCTCTGCATGGAGCATGTGAAACAAGTTTGTGCTCTAGCAAATAAGCCAGCAATCAAAAATAAATTAAGAACTTATTATTTATGAGCCTACATAATACATATACTACGTTGGTATTTGTTTTATATATATATATATATATATATATATATATTTTTTTTTTCTAACGGAGAAATGCCTGGACACAATATCGCTTTACACTTAAATGAAATTTAAATGTTATTTATTGTAATGTACGATAAAATATCTTTTCAATATAGTTTTTCAACTTACAAACATTGCCTCGCAGTTGTGAAATTAATTAAAAATTTTATCTTTACAACAGTTTATTGCATGATACGAATTTTAATGTTCGATAGATTTATTTATTTGCCATTTCATCCTACACATTATACGATTACACTCACCATTCTAATTTCATAATTTCATAATTAACAAAATTAATATATATTTAATGTGATATGCTTATTTTATTACTTATAAATACTTGTGATTACTACGATGTAGGGTAATTCGACAATTCTAGCTTTCGTATGAGTTTCAATTGCCGTTGAATAAAATTGGGATAAATAAAATTGAGGCGTGAAATTAAAAAACACATATTTATTAAATTTATTAAATTAACAAAAGGGCCGGCCTTCAAATTGCATTTATTACAATCATTTTAATCGTAGGCGTAACAGCATGAAAACTATAAAGCTACAACATGTGAAATTATGATTTAGTGCCGAAAGAATAAGATGAATATGTGAGATATCATAAGACATAGTTGATGCGATAAATGATCGAATAGCCGAGATTAGCAGCGATGCAGCAAATTTATTGTTGTTGACTTGATGGAGGACTTTAAGAGTCCTCTAATCGTCTAATCAATTATGAATAATTGCCCGATCGCACGTACGCGCGCACATCTAAAGACCAAATCTGAATAATACATATTTTAAAATGGTAGTCCTCTCCGTCCAGGACGACTACGAGATCTCGGCAGGACTCAACTAAACGAGAAGAAAACTGAGTTTTGGGCCGAACAAAAACCGAATCCTTTCATCGCATCGAGAACTCACCCAAACAAACCTTCCAGTTCTGAAATCGCACCGCATCCTCGGCTTCGTCCTGCCTCGTATCGCCATGCTGCAGATACCTCAGGTTTTTCAAATTATAACCCTCGAGATTCAGTCTCACTCTCTCGTCGTGCGACAGGCCTGCGAGCATTTGATAAAATATGTGGTAGTTCTTCTCGTCCGGCAAGGGCCGAATGACCCTCGTCTGGTCCAAAAAGTAACAGTGAATCTTCGTTCTGTATAATGCCCCATCCGTCACTTGCACCTCGATGAAATGGCCCTAATAACAGATTTTTTTTTACTTTTTTTTTTTTTTTTTATTACGATTGATAATTACGAGAACAATTAGAGTTATGAGCGAAGGATTAATCAACGAATATTATAAAGACCAAATTATATTCGCCCCAATGATGGAACGAATAATCCGCACTTGATGCAAATTGCACAGAATATTTATCCAGTTGTCTTCAAATTGTATGAAGTCAAAGACTTTAAAAAAAAAAGCAGTAAAGCAAAAAACAAAAAACAAAAAAAAATAATTAATAATAATTTATCCCAGTATCGAACGCAAATACCTCGGCTTACTCGAGTCTTCCCAACCTGTCGGCAATATCAAGTCAATATAATGACAATAACAATGACAATAATGCAATGGTCGTTGAATCGAATAAAGCCGCATTGGCGACCGAGGGCATCGGATGGGAATACCAAAGCAAGCTACGTGGCACGAGATAACCCATGCGACAACCGACGTCCTCGGCTAATATAGCGATCGTGGACAATTAGATTCGCGAGTTCTGCCCCAAGACCTTTCCGAAGACCCATTATCGCTTCACATACTATTCTCGAGCTTTCTGAGTTGGTGGCGGTTTTTGCTGAGCCGAGAGATCGAAGGACCGTGAAGGCGGCCGCGAGATGCTTGAACGCGTCGGTCTCCGGACCTCCGCCTGCCACGTCGAACAATTGCCGCAGCAGCAGCATCGACGCGTACGTCTTCCCCGATCCACTCGTACCTGCGAATGAAAATTACAAGGTTATATAAGTCCCATCCTCCTTCCAGGCTCCTCAAATTTCATTCGACGGCACTGTTTTGTGCACAAGTGACAATTACAAACGATGGGACCGATGATAATGGTCGATTTACCATAAATTAGGCTCTCGCTGCGAAATGTCATTATTACTAATCCAACCTATCGGTCGATGCTTATACACTTCAGTGCGCATGTTGTTATCCGGCTATTTTGCACTTTATCATTATGAAGCATTTTATTCTCTTTATATTGACGTGTTATGTATTGGCTTGTAATGAAATTGGTTGCTCAGAGGCGGAAATTCGTTAAATGACCGTAGACTTGAAAAAGTATCCTGGACGATGCTTATAGACAGCACTTACGGTTTATTTATAGATCGTCCTTCGTAATTAATAATTATCGAAGGCGAGCGAAATGGCTTCGAAGGTCCAGAGAGTAAAAGGTACCCGCCAGTGCATAAAAAAAAAAGCAGAACAAAAAACAAAACAAAAAACAGGCGGTATCCTAACAGCTCGTCCTTTCTTACCAAAACTTTGGAAGTGCGTTAGCATCGCTAAGGCTTATCAACGGCGCTCGACTACGAGTCCGCGTATTCCCGATTGGCCGATGCATATAAATCGCCACGCATCGCCGACGGTAATTTCGAGTCACGGCGAAAATATGTTCTCTACGGGGATCGAAGCGGAGAATCTCTCGAAGCCTACATGTGTGCGTGTGCGCGCGTGTGTATGGCGGGAGACTCGTGGGCCGCCTGCGGGGACTCACCGGACAGGATGATGGCCTGAGGATAGCCGGTTTCGGACTGCTGTCGCACGGCCTCCTGTACGACCCTGTTGAGGTGGGGAGTCAACGGGACGGCCCTGGTGCTCGTCAAGGTCAGCGGATTTCCCACGTTCGTATACGGGTTGAGGCAGACGAGGATCGGCCCAACGTTCGTCTGCAATGAAAATGACACGGTGTAAGAGTCGCACTCTTGTTCTCTGTAACTAATCTGCAACTAAATCGCGCAATTGGCGCGTTCTCCTATTCGATAAGTCTCTCTGTCAGAGAGACAGAGAGAGAGAGAGAGAGAGAGAGAGAACGCTTCACTTACCTTGCCTACAGCCGCTTTTCTATGTGTAAATATTAATTGGCAGGCATGAGAGAAGCATCATCCTGAATTCGATGCTTTTAGCGGTAATACGGTTTCTTCGTAAAGTATGATACTTTCTTTACACTAATAGCATAGCTCTACCTGATGTAATTATCGGTAATTACTCGCAGTGAGACTCAATATTAAAGTTATGGTGAAGTGGTGGAACTTAAACGCTTGTGTAAATATACCCACTGGCAGACCTAATAGAATTGTTATTTTGCATCTTATCACTCTTACGATGTACACATTGTTTGCAATTTTTTCGGATTGAAATTAAATTTGATCAATGGAATGCGATATAACGCTAATAGGGGGCGTATGTGACTACAATTGATAATGCTCCCTCCTTATGCGTAACAATTAATACCTCTAAATATAAATTTCATCATTTTGAATATATATATATATATATATATATATAATAATTAACGTCTCGTGGATCATGAGCGATAAAATAGTGAAAACCATTTACACGTATAAATAATAAATTATGCCGTATGTAGCTTATTATAGTGAGAACTGGTTTCAAGGGTAAGGACTATTTAATTAGAAAATTTGATATGCCAAACAGTATCGTAAGGTATTCTAATTCATCTGATGAATATCGTGGCAACTGATAATATAACGAAATTAAAAAAAAAAAATCAGGGATAAAAATAAAACTTTGAAAGTAGACAGAATAGAATTTAATTGAAAGTGTATTAAAAATTAATATGCTTTGATTTATTAGGACACTATGAACTTCTCACTTTCAACAATTTTTCTAAATCTTCTCCAAAGATTATTGGTGAGTGAATAATAAATCCTCGCAATACTATATGATACTTTGCATATCGCAGTTAAAGAGCAATTATTTCATCAACCGGAACCTATTAGAATGACTTGCGGATCATCAGATTCATTATTTGGTGCTAAAATGCTCTCGAGAATGATATTTATATTCTCCAACGGGTACTTAAACACTTTTTAATATTAATTTATTTGAGAGAATTTTTTTTTTTAATTTCAAGACGTGAAATTTGATCTGTGCGTTGAATTTTATCTTTGACAGTTCAAATTGAAATAGGATTTATGAAAATTAGTAAATTAACACGAACGAACGAATAATAAATAAATCATGCAAATATGTGTGCACCCGCGAGTACGTATACGTACACATGTGTCGAGCGTAAAATGCAATTAAAAAGTAGCCAGACGAAAATGGACAAAAAGGATTGAACGCGTTTAGAAAAAATGCTGCAAATAAAAATTGCTTGTATGGCTCAATTGAATCGAAGCAATTAAGCTAATATTAATTCTTCGGCTATTCGTTGATCCATCGATCGATCGATCGATCGATCGATGAAGTTGATTGAGTCGGACTCGAGTCATTAATAAAAATGTATTTTATGTTCCCCTGCGCGGAGTAGAAAATGTAACGGAATGATCGAGCAACGAGGCACGGAGCCGTAATAGTGCCAAAAAAGGAAGCGACTTAGCCTCGAGAGATAGGACCTCTGCTAATTCGCCCTCATTCTAATTCAACTATTCTCACGGTCTCTTAAATAAAACAATACGAAAGGAAAATCAAGGAGAAAATCCAAAATGAAATAAGAAATTGCCCAAGTGGAGGCTTTTTTTGTAAAAGAACCAGTACACGACCGCGTAAGCATAGTTAAAAAGCCAAAATAAAAGGAGCTTCCATATCGATGGATTCCCAATTCCCCCCCCCCCACACACACACCAAGCCTCCACGCCACCACGCCACTACGCCACCACGCCACCACGCCACCTCGCCCCCTGGCCACGAATCCCACCGGGTGCGCGCTCATTAATGCGCGAGTCGTAGGAAGGAGACCACCGTGCCGGTCGAGGAACGCAATCTCCGTAGAGCCGACAAAAATCGTCGAGTGGAAATCGGATAGGCGGCATTAGGCAGACCGCGCAAACAGGTGGGACGCACTTTGGCGAAGGTGTCCCGGGACCGGTTACCCGCATGCATCATCGGTCCGCAAACGCGTTTTTGGCCTGGAGATGAGGCGCTCGCGTCGAAAGAGATCGGCCCCTCCCACGAGTTGCGCGGCCCCCCGACGCCGAATATAATTGGCTCGTGAGCCGGGCCGAGCCGGGCCGAGCCGGGCCGAGCTGGGCTACGGTAAGGCCCCAAGAATGCAAGACCCGATAAATACTTTGCTTTATTATCCGCGAGGGCTCTGCCCGATATATCTGCCCGTTGGATAATTCATTTGGAGGGTTTGGAGGAGCCGTGGCTCGCATACACCGTCGGCATCGTGCGTCTATGCCGCGTTGATTTAAGCCCCGCGAAGGATATTAGCAATCTGCTGCCATTTGCTTTTCATTGTCATTTTCAGCCATTTGCTGTCATTTGCTGCACTATCGCTGATCCCCTATCTTTACACTCCACACGTATTATACGCCGTGCTTATGACTAATTCGAGGGCGCCGCGCGAGACGGGATCCCCGTTAAATAAATGCCCTAGACTGTCGGCATGGGAGGTTTGCCGATAGCGAGAACGTTATCTGGCGTAGCTCGACGGCAATGGTGGCTGAGGCATCTGCCGCGATTTAACGTATTGAAAGGAAAGTCGATAGGAAAATGTTGGCCAGGGAATGAAAAGCCCTTCGAGAGATTACGCAAGCAATACGTAATTGCGAGGGAATATTGGGGATAGAGGAAGGGCAGGGCAGCGTTGTTAAAGCCGACTTTGCGGTAAGAGGTTGCGGAGATGAAAGCGAGCGAGCCGAAGCTCGGGAGTCCGTCCTGTCGTGCGCTTGGGGAAACTCGTGCCGCGTAAACTTGAAAATTCAGGCTGCCTCGAGAACCTTGGATTAGACATCTTGACTTTCATCTCTCTATTCTTCTTGCTGGGCGCGCGTCTACGCTTATTTTTTTTTTATTTTTTTTTTTGTTTTGTTTTGTTTTGTTTTGTTTTGTTTTTACCGTCAGTTGTAGCTGTGGGACGATGACGGCGGCATGAGGCGGTGGGGAGAGGAGATGAGAGGGAGGAAGGAGAGACCTAGCACACCGGGGCGCGTTTACGCTTTGCATCTTTATGCCGGGGAAGGTCTTCATTTTTCTTCCACTGGTGCTGTGCTCGCGACTGTAAGGGTCCGTCGAGGAGAGGTCGTATCTCGTTGGCTCGTTGCTGCTGCAATTGCCACCGCAACTGCCAACGTATATGGAGCTTTACCGTTCGCGGTCGGGAGTCACGTAGAATTAGCTGGGCCAATCGCAATCAGTGTTGAATATGTTTTTGTTGTCGAGTTGCCGACTGCGTCGTTCGATCGGTAGCCAACGCCATGTAATTTGAAATACTAAAGTAGGAAAGCACCTGGAGTTTAAAGAGCAAGAGTTAGTGCTGGGATCTGGGGCTTATTTACTCTTTAATATCCATGAAAATTGCATTTTCTGATAAATTTTACTGGAACACGGTGCTCGTGTCAACATTATCTCCCAATGTTTGCCATAATATCTTATAATGTTTACATTCAAATTTCATTAATGTCGTAATTTATGTATTTACGCAAAATACACACCAATACGGAATAGATATTGAAAGCCGAAGAAAATTTCGGGGAAATTTTTATCTAGAGTTTCTTAAAAAGAGTTTGTAAAAAAAATTGCTTGCTTATTAATGAAATTACTATCATAATTAAAGAGATAAACAAAAGAAACGCACAATACATACAAAGTGCTGGTGAAAAATTTCTGCAAATCCCATCGATAATTATAGTTCGTCTTATTAGGTCATTTACGCCTTGGCAGTTTGACACACGAATATTATATAAACATTATCCCGATAGATTATATATTGCGGCATTTTAAAAAATAATGTAATTCTTTGTAAGGTTACGTCTTAATTTATGGCGCTTAAAGCAAATTCGAGTTTCGGGTTAACCACGAAATCGCAGGCGCATCATAATTGCAGTTTGAGCGCAAAATTATTTCTACGAAAAGAATTCCCAGTGGTAAATATCGAAATGCGTAATAAACGTTTTGACATTTAGTTAAATGTGTGGCTTTAATGTGATGTTGACGCTATTTTAATAGGCTTATAAGAAATATGATAAACTTTGGTATATTTAATGCAGGGGATATGAATTTCGACTTTCTTCTTTACGATGGAATAAAATTTTTAGAAGATAAAATAATCTATCGCCGAGAGTATTACATTTCCCCTAAGAACAAATATTATAATTGTACGGGCGGATTTCATATAAAACTTAAATGTTGATAAAGCTTCGAGGACTTTTATATACGATTCTTTCATCGGACCAATCGCATAGAATTCTTCACACATACATACGTACATACGTACACAAACGTGCATGCAGACACGCACACACGCGCACACGCACGCGCGCACACACGCGCGCACACACACACAGACTCACGCGCACACACACACACACACACACACACACATATATATATATATATATATATATATATATATATATGCACGCATGCACACATACATACACACGCACGCACGCACACAAACACACACAACACCGGTTCGACCAACGTCTCATCGCTTTGCTCCGATTGCATTCCGCCGAAGAGAAGAGAGAAGAGAGAAGAGAGAAGAGAGATACATATATACAGAGAGAGAGAGAGAGAGAGAGAGAGAGAGAAAGAGAGAGAGAGAGAGAGGGAGAAGTGGATGGTAGGTAGGCAGTGACCAAAGAGAAGGTAAAAGAAAAGAGAGGACAAGAGCAGCATGAAAAGTAAATAGCGAGCGGCAGAACGTGAAAGACGGAGTAAGAGAATTCAACAAAATTTTTACTTTGAAAACAGAAAAAACTTTTTAAACAACCCGAGCAGAGAAATGAAACTAAGAGAACGTAAATTTCTAAAATTGCATTAATGATAATGAAAAGTTCGGATATGTAAAAGAAAATATAAGACAAAATTAGAGATTTTTCATTTGTGGAAGTACAGTAGATATACTGTAATAAAACTGATAAAGATTGCTTATTTTTAAGAATATTTTAGACATTTTATTAAATTAGGAGAAAAAAATTTTTCAATTTATTTAATTACAAGTTTATATTACTTTTTTTTGTTTTTTTTTTTTTGTTTTGTTTTGTTTTAATGATAATTAATTTGTCGGACTTCCCTTGATTAACAATAACTATTAGATGGGAATGTACTAATGATTTAAGAAAATTCAATTACATCCGTAAATAGAGATAAATAAAGAGAAATTACATGGAGGATATCAGGATAATAAAATAGTAATAAATTATTTGTAAAAAGATAAGAGAGCATATACTGTAGAAAATTTCTATTTAATAATTTTAAAGAAAATTGAAAATTATAAACGTCATAAATTAAATCATCGAAAAACAGTATGAAAACTTAGGACTTCATTAATATAAGATAAAAAGTAAAAATGAAAAAGAATTAAAAACAGCGGCATAAAAGAGCACATTAATTATAGAGGCAGATAAGTTGCTCTTACTATCCCCCGAAGTAAATCCTGATAAATCTTATGCTCCTTTAAGAGAAAACTATTTCCAAGAATTAATCTCACAATTGTCACTCTCTCGAAAATCAGTGATTGAATATTACAAAGTTATAAAGAAACATTAGGCGATCAAAGAGATCTATATGAAAAATAAAAAAAAAAAGAAAAAAAAAAAGTTAAACTAAATATACATAGAACAAATGACAGAATTTCTTAACAGTTATGCTTACAACCAAGTAACAGAGACAAGAAAAGATATACATTGAAGAGGCGCTCGGAGGGACGGCAAATTCATTCTGCTTATATATTCTTTCCATGCCCTCGAGCTATAAACGCATACACACGCGCGCCTTTATTCACGAGCGTACGTGTGAACACGTATAAATACTTCAAGTGAGAAGAGAGAGACCCCCCCCCCCTCTCACTCACTCTCTCTCTCTCTCTCTCTCTCTCTCTGTGTGTGCATGCGTGTGTACGCGCGTGTGTGTACGCGCGCGCCCGTGTTCTTGAATGTATATTCTATACTCGGTTACGTAGTCGCTTAATCGTGTGTGCGTGTGCATATTGCTCGGCGCACGCAGTTTAACGCGTCTTGAATTTCGAATTTGTCTGACCTAACATTTGGTTCCCTCGCAATTATATACATCTTCAATCACGTAACAAATTTTTAAGAAATGAAGAAATATCTTTTTTATGAACGAATAATACATTGTGCGATGTTTTTATCAAACTTATATTTAACCGTAATTATAGATATTTATACGAGTTTTTAACAATATACGGACGTAGTCGGCTTGCAAAGAGGCTCTTTAATACAGAAGATATACATTTTTAATATACTTAAGATTCTTTTTCTTAAATATACGATCTTTGATTGGCATTAATTTCAATTTTAAATTTGGAGAAGTAGATAATACAGCTGTGAAAAAGGTAAAATTTCTTTCCATTTGTTTTATCCTATAGAGAAAGAATACGTAAGAATAGTCAACGTGAATATTTATTCAATTATATTTGCGAGTGTAAAAATTTGATTTAAGCTTGTATTAGCCGACAAAATTTTAATACAACGATTCCTCCAAAATTTAAATATTAAGCACACGATCATTATGCATTTCGTTATATTGAATTTTTTCTTAAATACATTAGTCAATTTTTTAATTTCTTTTCTTTTTTTCTTTTATTCTTTTTTCGATCAAAAGAAAAAGAGGTATAAAGATTCGATGGAAACGGTATAATAAATACAAATTCAACTACGATTAATTGTTATGTATTCATCTTTATATAATATAATCATTCTAATCCTTCTTCTCAATAATATCAAATGAAGCGCAAAGCGCGAGATGCTTTTAAGGTAGACATTACGTATTGTAGTAATTTTTTATATTTTGATAATACACACTAAGGATTATAGCACATATTATAATAGAAGTAAAATACACCAAATAGAACTGCAAATTTTACGTCTCTCTCTCTCTCTCTCTCACTTGGCTGATATAAAAAAAAAAAAAAAAAAAAGATGGAGAAAGGCAAATAGATATTTTTTCGAAACCTCATTACAAACACAAATGTATAGAATATTGTTGATACTAATATTTTCCATCGGACGAACAATAACGTAAAAGCTTTGAATGTTCGTTTGAGTATCTAATAATAGTCCCAGAGCAGCTAGAGCCGATAAATAAATATTAGCCATTAAATTTAAAGAATAATGTATTAAAAACCCGAGTACGCGCGTACTTGACGCGAAATCTATACGTTCGACCAAAGGGCTGAAACGCTATTCTATTGAGCAGGTTCGGTCGACTCGAATCCTTAGAATCGTCGATTCCCTAGAAGCTCACGTGATAATCGAGCATTGATGCGCGCTAATGAAGAAAAGAAAAGGGTCTAGCAAGAGGCTCGCAGCTCTAATGTTAGAGCTAGACAATAAATGCGCGTGATCACGAGGAAGTCGGCATATGGGAATCGTACGGCGTACGGGATCCGGGTGAGACTCGTTCGCCCGGCAACAGCCTCTACGAAAACAAAGTGAAAGCAAGAAAAAGGCAGACTGACGTGGTAATGCTTGGCGCAGAATCGGGCCTGGAGGCACTTGAGGACGGCGTCCTCGGTGAGGGGCCCAGGCAGGTGAATGAGGTCATCCAAGGCCGCGCTGTTGAGGCTCCCAACGACGGACTGCTGCGCGCCGATGGCTGCCTTACCCTGAACCGGTGCCCGCTGTTGTTGTTGCTGCTTATGCTGATGCTGCTGTTGCTGTTGGTGTTGCTGTTGGTGTTGCTGCTGCTGCTGCTGCTGCTGCTGCTGCTGCTGCTGCTGCTGCTGCTGCTGCTGCTGCTGCTGCTGCTGCTGCTGCTGCTGCTGCTGCTGCTGCTGCTGCTGCTGCTGCTGCTGCTGCTGCTGCTGCTGCTGCTGCTGCTGCTGCTGCTGCTGCTGCTGCTGCTGCTGCTGCTGCTGCTGCTGCTGCTGCTGCTGCTGCTGCTGCTGCTGCTGCTGCTGCTGCTGCTGCTGCTGCTGCTGCTGCTGCTGCTGCTGCTGCTGCTGCTGCTGCTGCTGCTGCTGCTGCTGCTGCTGCTGCTGCTGCTGCTGCTGCTGCTGCTGCTGCTGCTGCTGCTGCTGCTGCTGCTGCTGCTGCTGCTGCTGCTGCTGCTGCTGCTGCTGCTGCTGCTGCTGCTGCTGCTGCTGCTGCTGCTGCTGCTGCTGCTGCTGCTGCTGCTGCTGCTGCTGCTGCTGCTGCTGCTGCTGCTGCTGCTGCTGCTGCTGCTGCTGCTGCTGCTGCTGCTGCTGCTGCTGCTGCTGCTGCTGCTGCTGCTGCTGCTGCTGCTGCTGCTGCTGCTGCTGCTGCTGCTGCTGCTGCTGCTGCTGCTGCTGCTGCTGCTGCTGCTGCTGCTGCTGTTGCTGCTGATGATGATGTTGCTGCTGATGCTGCTGCTGCTGCTGCTGATGTTGCTGCTGATGCTGGTGTTGTTTTTGATGATGCTGCTGCTGTTGCTGCTGTTGCTGCTGCTGCTGCTGTTGCTGCTGTTGCTGCTGGTGATGGTGGTGATGGTGAGTGCCTTTGGCGCTCTTGACGTCGGTAAGGAGGCCGGAGGTGGGGGAACGGACACCGCCGAGAGCCGTCACGCACGAAACCATTCCGTCGTCCGGGATGCTGCAATGGCGCTTAGCTGGCTCCAGTTCTGAAAATGAGGCGACGATGCTACGATGAGCGATTAAACGACGGACCCAAGGGTCGAGGGTCTACTCGAGCTACTTCGGCACCGTCTCTCTCACCTACGATCTCATCTCTGATCGATGAGACGGTTGCCCACCTTTCCGGCTCCTGCGCATCCAGAGCCAATCGAGTCGCGCACTCCTTGTACTATTTATTATACCGGAGATATACGATATGATGTATTGATCAGAATTAAAATTCCTCATTCCGGCTCTGTTTACTTAGCTTCGTAGACGTCTAAATTCGTATTGATGCTTACGGCAGCTACATTTTGTTTTTCATACGATGTTGCGAAGGGCAGGAGCGTTCAATTAAACGCGAGAGTAAAAGGATATCCCAAAGGAGTAAATTCTTAAGTGATATTTAATTCTTAAATTCAAGGGAACTCGAAGTATTGACATGACGAAATTGATATTTTACGGATCTAAAATGTTGTTGCGATCTATTGGATTATATTATTAAGACCGAAATTCCACGACGTCTATACGTTTTAGTCTATTAGTTAGGAGAAACGAAATATTAAATTAAAGTACTGCAATGTATTTTCAGTATTTTAATTAAGTACTATTAATTAAATAGAATTTTAATGTACACACTATTTGCACTACTGCTTGTCGTTTAGAAATTAATGGATTGATCTATCGTAATATCTCAACTACAACATGGATACTCATGAATACTCAAAAATAGCCAAGATGAAAGCCAAGAATAAATTGATCGACCACTAATTAATTCACAGATAATGAAAAGTATAAAACTATTGGTAAAATAGTGTAAAAGAACGCGTTACGAATTTTGACTTTCTTCTCTTTTTCTTTCATGTTTTCTTTTTTCATTTTTTCATATTTTTTTGTTTTTTTTTTTTTTTTTGTCTTTCGTTCAAATTTTTTCCTCTCTTTATCGTTCATTCTTATAAAATTACATTGGCCCAACGTGACGCGAGACTAACAATGATGCGCGAATCAATTTTAAATTGCACCGAATTTATCTATTGGCACTTATATTTATTGATTTTATTTCATAATAAAGACCATTTATAAAAAATTTATAAAAAGTTTAAAATGATTATATATTTATTACTTCAATTTGTTATCTAGAATTGAGTGATACATACGATAGGAGAAAATTCATTTGCCATGAATTTAGATCGAAAGTGCCGTGATAAAGGAAAACTTTTAATTTCTTTGCTTTTCGTTCGCTAATATTTCATTCAATTGGGTGTGAAAAGAGCGCGCGCGCGCATTGTCGCGATTTAAACGGCAATACACAGCCAATTGAGAATATTTTTTCTAGAATTTATAAAACTGAGGAGACAATCTGCTTGAATCGAATATTGAATTATTTCAAAAATATCATAATCGTGCGAGTATTGTGAAAATGTGTACTGTACTTTTTAATGTTTCGTCGTTTCTCATCGCGAGCATTAGACATTCGTTAGTTGCAAAATAGCCAATTACAAATTGGCTATTATCAACTTGGCCTTACAGATGTTGCGAAAGAATAAAAAGTCCGGACAATGGCTCTATTTAAGCGTAAAAGCGAACGACGACAGTGTCGAAATGACATTATAATGTATGGCCATAAAGTACGATAATGAAAGAATTAGGTTTTTATAGTGTGTGGCTCGCAGGAGGCTTGCATGACGTTACGTTTATTGTAAGAAAATATGAGCGATCGTGATCGGGGCCCGGTGCGTCATATCTCCGATTCTCGATGGGCCTACGATCGTTTAAAGGCCGAGTCGGCGAAGCGCGCCATCGTTGCACTGACGCACATCCGACAAAGCCGTCATAGACACTTTACGTTGACTCACCGGCTGGCATGAGATGGTTGGCAGCATGCCCGGGGCCGTGCTGCTGCTGATGAACTAGGGCCGAGGCCGTAAGGGTATGCCCGGGCCCGTGGGCGAGGCTCGTACGGGGCGGCACCGCGGGCGCCCCCGGCGACGGGCCCTTATCCGGCTTCCCGGAGCTACCCGGCTGGCTCACGTGCAGCCGGTTCCTTAGCGTCACGAGCTCCGTGCTCAGGCTGCGCAGTCGCTGCTGGAGGTGCACCGCCTCGTTTGACGAGGAGGCATCTGCAATGAGAGACGAGGTTAGTGTGGTCGGAGGAGGACTCGGGTAGCGGAGCGAGCCTCCGGGGAATCGACGATCGATCGGCTTTGCCGCGAGCGGGGATCCTAATTGTCGAGGCTAATCGCCGAGTTTCGCTGACGTTTAATTTTCAATGACAGGACTTTCGTGGGGAAGTTGTCGCTCTAATCGAGATTGTCCGACATTTTCCCTAGCAAATCGGCGCTTAGCCGGTAATGGAAATATGCGCAAGAGGCTTGATTAAGCATCGATGAAATTATGAACATTTATGCTTAATTTATGAATTTCTCGGGCAATTCATCTGGAATTGAGACTGTAAAATAGCGGTGTAGTGGTAGCGTAGACGTTGGATTAACGTAAAATTACTTTTTAATAAGTCGAGATAGTGTAAGATTAAGAACAGTATTATCTCCAACCTCGTTTCCTTCATCTAATTACATATTATCCTCAGAATCTTTGTTTTTCATTGCAATATGTGCTTACTTACGTTTCTGTATCGATATAGATTTTCTAATATTGGAATTACAAGAGAACCTAATTACACGCGCTAATATATAATCCCATAAGAATAGTAATTGCAATTTTTATAAATCAGTAAGTCGGCATTTTAACGTTACAACGATTATTATTTCTTAACTTCATTTGTTCAATGCCTGACTATTAAGAAGGGATGGCAATATACGGCGAAGTGACACATAAATATTAATACTTTTATAAATTATAAACATGTTTTTTGAATGATTCGTTATAATAAATATCGATATTAATGTACTCATAGATTTTAATTCTCGTATGCGTCAAGCATTGCTTAACGTTACTTTATTCATTCAAGTTATTGAAATCGATATGGATGATATGAACGCAAGACCCTTAAAGCATAATTTGACGCCGAAATGGATTCAATTTCATAATTCGTTTTTAAAGTTCAATATTCGTTTATAATGATCGACGATAAAATAGCAAAGAAACTTTGATTTTAAGTCACTGATTCAAATCCCAAATTATATTATGCATTACAAAGGTCTTGTGCGCAAAGTATAGCTATGAAAGACTCTCGTTTAAAAAATGTCGGCGAAAAAAAAAACACTTTGGACGTAAGCGATTGGAGATTTGAGCAAAGTAGAGAGAAGAGGAGAGGCTTCTACCGCATAAGTTGGCCTTTTCAAGGATTCTAGCAATATCGGCGCTTAGCCTCCTTCGTTCCTCCTGATGCCGTCTTGAAAACGTCTGCCATTGTATCTAAGATTAACGGTATTCGAGGATGCCGAACGTTACGAGCATGTACCTAAGCCTGCCCCCCCCCTCCACACACACACACAATAACAACCACCTTCACCGCACCACACCACACCACACCACACCAACCCACCACCCTATCACCTACCCCATCTCGCTATTTCTCTTTCCACGATCGACTCTCACTCGATCTTTCTCAATGTTGCCAACGCCAGCGTACATATAAACTCACTTATCCACCTACACTCGCTCCTGTCTACGTGCATTTATAAATGTACATTGCGCTCTCGGCGATAGGAAGAAAATAATCGCCTGTGGCCTCGCGATTACCGCACGCTCGAGTCGACTACAGAAGTATAAGAGTGAAAAGAAGAAGCGAAATGTGATAAATAAACAAGGATAGATAAAGGTGCATGAAAAAAAAAAAACGAAATAAAGATTATGTGTACGTGAGATTGTGCAGTGCCTTGAAAAGTGACATTGGTCTTTTCTACTTGGTCAGTTCATTCTAGTAAGAATTACAAACAATTGTGTTGGGGGCATTGCAAAATTTATCATTTATATCGTGTAATAATGCGTCAACGTACTCGGAAAAAACATTTTCTAAGACCTAGAATTATCTCGCTGCTTCAAAAATTGAGGAGGAAATGAGATCGTTCGACTTGAGCTACATGACAGATTCTTTTAATATATCCCGAGAATTGTAACAGAAATATTGGTGTGAAATATTTATAGCAATTTAATGAACAATTGATGCATTGAGCTTAAAAAAAAAAAAAAATAAATCCCAAGCTATTCTCTTATTTACAAAAGCACATATAAAGCACAAAAAATAATCCTTATCGTTTTTTATATTCGGAAAATGGCTTGCAAAATCTATTTAATTGATTTTATAATTCGAGTAGATTTCGTATAAAAATAAAGTTGGAAAATATAATTTCTAAAACTAAAACTATGCATGGCATACATATATACACACATATACATATATTTATATTTAAACGCATATTTTGAATGCCAATCGTTATATACTCCGTAATAAATATATTTATGATTACTTATAAATGTTTAATAAGAAGTGCTTTTTCAGGCATGAGTGCGTTAATTCATTATCAACGATAGTTCCATAAATATTTTCGCGGCCCATTGAATTAATAGTAACATTGACGTATGACAAAATAATAATGACTAGTGTAACAAATAGTACGTTGGATTGCATAATCGTTGGGCTCGTGTATTTGTAACCTTTGATTTTCAGACTTTTCAATTGATTTTTAATATCCTTCACCCAATATTCACATAATATTTTTCAGATAAGTTTCATAAATTTCATTTATGAATACAAACAAATCGATTGCATTTTGAAAAAATTTAGATTAATTTTTGTAACTCTGCAATGTTAATTCTTTTATTAATGTTATATTATTAACGCATTTTAATTATTAAATTTGTCAACATCATTTTTTTAAAATTCCATACCATTATTAAATACGTTTTTACAAATTTACAAAAAGAGAAAAGTATTAATTCTGCCTTTGAAATATTTTATTACAAGTGATTATAAAATTATTGTAGCTTGTCGATTCAGTGTAATTAAAAATTCACATTCGAAAAAGCGCATATCCCTATGTATTCATTTTTGTTTTTTATTGAATCGAATTTTTATTGAATTAAATTACATGATTCATCTCGTTTCTTCTCTCTCATTTCATTTGTATGTTCCGTCTCGCTCTCTCTCTCTCTCTCTCTCTCTCTCTCTCTCCGATACACACTCACAGGCACAGGCGCGCACACATTCTCACAATACTATTTTCCCTCATCCTCTCTCGCCTCTCTTTGTCTTATAATTCGCACGTACACGCGCACATATATGGCCCGTCCTAACGTCTTTTTAATTAGAAATCGAATACATTAAGTTATAAATTTCTTTCGAGCCCGTAATCTGACTAATCCTTATTTGAATTATATATTGGTATTAGATTTTACATTACTCGATATCAGCCTCTTTGTCTATCCCGCATTCATCTTTGATTTAGCTATAGCTTTATCCTATTTTATCAATCACTCACGATTTATACGCCACGTTATTTTTTTCTCTATATCTTCCTCGCATTATTATTGTAAGCTGAAGTGTCTGTTTAAATTGTAGCACATAGTTTCTAATAAATTTCTCAACGATTTGCTTTTCAATTACTTACAGGAACTTGCTCTTTTTTTTCCATCATTTTATCTCAGCAACTAAACGACTAATTAAATGATTAGAATATTTATAAGCCCAAGGACAAGCTCATCTGCTTTCGTACATTGTGCAGTGATAATGTTTATTTCTTTTGAAATTTCATCCATTAAATCTTTGTCGTCCTACATTGGAGAAGCCAATGTATGCAATAATGCACGCAAAGAAGTCAAAATTCGCGAGAAGAAAATTGGCCAGGAAAAAGGAAAGGAAGCCCCAACTAGCTCGCTATAAGGAACAAATTGAATTTTTCTTTTATCAGCATTGAGATTGAAGTTATACGTTAAATGCACGGTGGAAGATATTAGCTTCGTCGAGCCATAATTAACGATCGGCTGATACGAGTCAGTCTCGATGTGCACACGCACCAACCCATAAGACCTTAGTATGGGATTTCAAGCGCGGCTCTCACTCTCGTTACGAGGATTTCCGCATCGTCGCTTTTCCCCGATGCTCGACGTAAAAGGATTACGATTAAATAACAACATTTCCAATAGCGACATTTCGAATGGGTATGAAGAAGGAGATATGATTTTACGCTTTCCCAGTGTCCCGATAGTGCGCATTAAGTGTAGAGGCAGCTCGCGTAGCTTGATTTTCACTTAGATCCCATGTCTGCCTATTCAACGCTATTGAACCTAGATCCCATGTCTGCCTATTCAACGCTATTGAACCTTATTAAAAAAAAAAAAAAAAAAAAAAAAAAAAAAAAAAAATATATAAATTGTAACCGTAGGCCGGGCTTTTTACGTCTGGACTCTGCGGGCGTTGCTGCGTCTCTCCTATTAGCAAACATTGGGTAATGCACGCTAAAACTTGTCTCCGACTCAAGTTATATAGAGCACACAGCTGGACTTGTAGAATATCAACGGGTCGGCCGGTAATTGGCACGAAAGTCAGTGAATTCGAATTCCCGAATAGCGCTTTATCCTTCCTTCTGGACTTTTCCTTCGGAGAATCTCACCTCGTTAGAGATCCGATCGTTCCTATTCCCGTTCCCATTCCCGTTCCCATTCCCGTTCCCATTCCCGTTCCCCTTCCCGCGTACAAAATATATCGTCGATATGAGACGTTCCGGGCTATTCTCATGATTTCTCTAAGTAACGCGTGTTTTAGCTTCCCTATTAGAACAATGGACGATTATTTGCATGTCATTAAAGGCAAGGCTGGGCCAACGGTGAAAATCTTAGGTGAAATCGGCTTTGTTACATCGGTAAAAGACGAATGAGCCGACCGTCCTACATTTACTATTCTCGCAAACGTATCAACGATCTTCAGGATCAATTTAGGATTTTTTGCTTTGAACGAATAATTTTTCAGTCAACCATGAAAATGGGTTGATATCAATCTATAAACTCTGTGTGACGTTATTCATTAATTATAAATATCGCGTGCAATGGCAAAACCACTGTGGTGCGCACGTGCATTAATTACAGCCGTAACTACAGCATTTACGCATGTTCACACGTTACAAAATATCTCTCTCTTTTTCAGTAGTCTATCATATGTTCG